GATTGTTGTGGTTTTCCCTGTATTATCGTAGGGTCTTTACCTTACAATATGAAGTACCTTGTGGCAACTTTTATTGTGATTTGGTGCTATATAAATAATATTCAACTGAACTGAATTAGTTATTAACTTGTAAAAAGCAACATAATAAAAATAGGCTATTCATCCTAGAAAATATATCAATATTTGTCATCTTAGCAGGGGTGTGGGAAAGGAATATTATATTTTGAATTGTATCAATACAAGGACACCAAATATCAATATTTTTATTTAATCAATTAAAATAATCTGGGAAGAATTAGAACAAGAAGTTTCAGCTCACACACCACCATCCAGAAATAACTTTAGACAAGCGAGCGTATGTTAAATCAGCTCAACCGAAATAAGTGCCCAACACTGGACACACATAATTTGACGAAGCTACTTCATATTTAAGAGCAAGTCAGTTGCTCAGTCATATGAGTAAAAGTAAAATAGCAGCCTCCTTGCATCAGTCAAAAACACCAGTCCCTGTCTGGTAAATTGACCTTTTTCAGCAACTGACTGCAACTTGTGGTGACTAAACCCATTTGTAGGCATTTTGTGGTCATGAGTGTGCACGATACGATAGATTGACAGCATGTAGCCATCAGTCTCAATGAGCCTTTGAGACTTTACTCAACTGGCTGCCTGCTGGTTGTGGTCCGGTTATATCCCTATAGAAGGTGGCTGAACACAAATGTAATAGTTAAACATGAATATCTATTAAATGGGAATTTCAGTCTAGACAGTAACATGTGTGATTTTCAGTGACTTATTACTGTTAACTGTTGTATCATCAGAAGATGATTGCTTTAGATTGCATGTAATTGCCCATTTGACCCCATTCAGTCAGAGTGTCACGGTCGATAGCAGGGACTCAAGCGCAGAGCAGGTTGACGTTTCCAAACACATTTTATTTACAACACCAGTGCAGAATATATACAGTGAGGGGGGGAAATCCAGGGTTCCAAAGGTCCAAGGGGAA